ACTCAAGTGTGGTCCCCAAACCAATATTCGTTGAAGGCGAAGATCGAGCGTGTTCAAAGGCAAGCCACACGATGGATTCTTCAGACCCGGGTTGACGAAATGTCATATAAGGAAAGACTTGTCATACTGAACCTTCTGCCCTTTGTTTTGGACAGGCAACTTAAGGATCTATTTTACTACAAATGCTTCTTTGGTTCTACTGACATTAATGTTCTTGAGCATACATCGTTTATTTCTCACGGCCGTACCAGACGAAGTAATCCTTTCAATCTTAAAAGTCATCTTTGCAGAACCATTACTTTTAAGGCTTCCTATTTTAATCGTATTACTAAGTTAAGGAATTTTGTTTGTTCGCTTAAGTCACCTAGTAGTTTCTCTGGTACGCAATCTTTTAAGCAGTTTGTTTACAGCTATTTCGAGAAAGGCTGTGGGAAAAATGTTCACGCGACAATCCCGAAAGGTAATAAGGATATGATCAATGTACTGTTCCTCACACTGCAGCTGTCGAACCTAATTAAGCTAAGCTATATCACCGTTCAAATATTAAAGTGTAAAATCCCTGAAACAGGTCTCCTCACTGGAGCAATATGCAAAAGGCTTTCAAGACGTCGGTGAAGATGTGCGGCCTGTCACCCCTCGCAAGTTTTTACTTTGAAACTTCTACAAAGACAACCCTCCTATTCCTACACATTACCGGCGGGAAATGCTTAGACTAATCCTCAAAGAAAATTCTTTCCAGTTCAATGGAAAACACTACCTACAAACCCATGGTACTGCAATGGGCACAAAGACAGTTATTGTAGTTTCTTTTGCCAATATTTTCATGGTACATATTGAAACAACAATTCTAAGCAGAGCCGTTTTTAAACCAACAGTTTGGAAACGCTACATTGACGATATCTTTTCCCTATGGGACATAAGTAAACCAGGCATCAAAGCCGTCATCGAAAAAGCAAACTTACATCACCCAACTATCAAATTCACAGCCGAAATATCGGACACTGAGACGATTGTTTTTAGACACGGTTGTTTACAAAGGCGCAAGATTCAAGGAAAAATCTATCCTTGATGTAAAGGACACATTTTCAAAAAACGGAAACCTTCCAGTACACACCGACTTCACCTCTTGTCACCCGCTGAGTGTTAAAAAAGGATTTGTCAAATGAGAAGCCTTGAGAATCCTACGAACAAACTCCGCAAAAACTACGTTTGAGGAAATTATTTCAAATTTAATGAAACACTTGCTTGACAGAGGCCACCCACAAACTTTGATAGAAAACCTTCTAGCAGACTATAAACTTCACAGAGAGGGAGTCTGCACCCAAAAGTCTGACTGAAACACAACAACAAAGAGGAAAAAGAAATGTTGCCTTTTCTGACACAGTACAAGCCCTCAGTGTCTACTTTAAAAGAAAGTTTTAATGAAAAAAATGGAATCTTAAACAAAACGAACCGTTGCTTCGCCAAATTTTTAAAGATTTTACCACCTATCATTTTCTCCAAGAAAGGAAAATCCCTAAAGGACATGCTCGATAGAGGTAAAATATAAATGGTTAACAAAGGTTTCACGCCGGTATGGATGTGCGGCCTGTCACCCCTTGCATTCTCTCATGTTTACAACTCGTGAATAGAAATCGTACGCACTCACCAACCATGAAGTAAGCTCCATATACCCCAGTCGATAGTCAAAACAAAACAGTTTATAATATGTACTGACAAATATTCAATCAAGAGAAAGAGTTATTATGATGGAAGTGAACTACTGAGGAAACTACAGGGGAAAACTTAGGAAAACTGAAACATACAAAAACAGGGAGACAGGAGGGGAAACAGAGAAAAACAGGAAAAACAGAGAAAAAAGGGGAAACATAAGAAAACAGGAGAAAACATAGAAAAACATACGAAATCAGTGGAAAACTTACGGAAACATGAGAAAACATAGAAAGACATGGCAAAACAGGGAGAAGCAGAAAAACAAAGGAAAACATGGGGAAACAAAGGAAAACGTAGGAAAACACTGGAAAACATGGGAAAACATAGAAAAACATGGGAAAACATAGGAAAACAGAGGAACACATAGCTATAGGAAAACAGGGGAAAACATAGAGAAACAGGAAAAACATAGAACAACAAAGGAAAACACTGGAAAACATAGGAAAACAGGGTGAAACATAGGAAAAGAGGAAAAACATAGGAAAACATGGGAAACCCGGCATAGAAAAACAGGAGAAACATAGGAAAACAGCAGGGGAAAACGTAGGAAAACAGGAGAAAAACAAGGGAAAAGATAGGAAAACAGAGGAAAACATAGGGAAACATAGGGAAAGATAGGAAAACGTGGAAAAACAGGAGAAAACAGAGGAACACATCAAGAAACAGGGAAAACAGAAGAAAAAATTAGGAAAACAAAGTAAAACAGGGGGAAACATAAGAAAACAGGAGAAAACTTATTGAAACAGCAAAAAACATAAGACAACAGGAAAAAACAGACCGAAACAGGGGAAAACAGAAAAAAGGATCATAGGAAAACTGGGGAAAACAGAAGAAAACATACGAAAACAGGGGGAAACATAGGAAAACCGGGGAAAACATAGGAAAACAGCGGGAAACAGAGGAAAACAAAGGAAAACAGGGGAAAACAGAGAAAACACTGAAAAACATAGGAAACAGAGGAAAACAGGGGTAAAAATGGGAAAATAGAGGGAAAAAAGGAGAAAGCATAGGAAAACAGCGAAAAGCATAGGAAAAAAGGGGGAACAGGGAAAAACCTAGGAAAAGAGGGGGAAACAGAGGAAAAGATAGAAGAACAGTGGAAAACATAGGAACTGAACAGGGAAACCATAGAAAAACTGGGGAAACATAGGAAAACAACAGGGGAAAACAGAGAAAAACACTGGTGGAAATTATTAGAAACAGAGGAAAGCAGGGGAAAACATGGGAAAATAAGGGAAAACATGGGAAAATAAGGGAAAACAGGGGAAAACATAGGGAAAAAAGAGAAAACATAGGAAAATAGGGGAAAACATAGGAAAACACAGGACAACAGAGGAAAAAGCAGGAAAACAGGGGAAAACATAGGGAAACAGAGTAGAATAAAGAAAAATGGAAAAACAGGAGAAAACAGACGAAAACATAGAAAAACAGAGAAAAACACAGAAAAACAGGAGAATTCAGGAGAAAAAAGGAGGAAAAGGAAATTTTAAAAAGTATTATGTATTCGGGATATATTATCGAGTCTTCGGTAATGAAAAATACTGATAGTTTAGTGGTATAATTTGCGGTCACGTGACTCATTCGTGACAGTATCTTGTCAACTTGATTCTTCCTGTCAAAAGTAATGCCTTCAGGCTGTGTTTTATGTCATTATCTTGACCAACGTGGTAGAAAAGCCACCCCGCTTCAATTTCTTAAGTATCTTAAGATTCGTTCTCTTCGATTTAGAAACGAGATTTAACCTGTGTGCATGTGTTACTTAGACCCTGTTTACATGAAGTGGGGGACCCCGGTCTAGTGGGGTAAGTTTCTTTTGTTTTGTGTCCTCCAGAGCGTGAAAACAAAAGAAACCAACCCCACTAGACCGGGGTCCCCCACTCCATGTAAACAGGTCCTTACTGATGTAAGGACACGAGGGAAGCACGAAGCGAAATAGTTGACCTGAATCACAACGTGCCGAACTAAGTAAACTAGTAATAGTTGACACTACAGCTGCCCCCGCTCTGTGTATTGTCGGTCAATAGTATTCTTGCTCGTTGTGTAGCTCTTTGAAATACACCGATTCATAATGAAGATTTTCACACCATACAATAGGTGAGATAAATACAGGAAACGCAAGGTTCCATGCACAGTTTCAGCTCGATTTACACAGCTTTGATCAAACCATTCTCAGTTTCGAGAATAGTTTATTCTAAACCACTAGAAAAGATTTAATTAGAAGTTGAATTTTTCGCTATTTCTCTTTCACTTTTCACATTCAGTTCATTTTATTCGCCGGAAAGTAAGCCTTAGAAATTAAAAGGTCGTTTGATCAATTCACGCTCGCGCATTCTAGTCTTATTTGAAACTTTATAACGGAAGGACATCTGTGAGCAGGGAATAAGTCAGCACAGAAATTGATTGTTGGCGAATTTCTGTAATCGTCCATCATTCTGCTAGTTATAAGCTAGCCGTTGTTCACTCGTCTTGCTTGTTTGGGGCTGAGTCTTATTCCGGTCAAAGAGAGAGAAAGAGTGTCTGGCAAAGTTTCCAATATAAATCAAAGATTTGTGAACTCGTGTCTGGCAAACTCTCCAAGTGTTTATATATACACAGTTAAACGCACCTTATAAACCCCACCTGCGCTTAACGAGTGTCTTTTGGTGCATAACTTTCAAAACAACTGCTCCACAGAATGTCACTGCGTAACGCAAAAGAGTATCGAAGTATGATTGCACAATAAATGTCACAAAATCTACCTGAGCGGTCCCTTCAGGATTTTCCGTCTTTACGTCATCCTAACCATTTCGTACTTACGGGCGCAAACAATAGAAACGTCATCATTACCTACCGATTCCTCGCGGCCCCTGTTCAAGCAAATCGAGATTTTTTCTAGTATACTGACTGTATATTTGAACTGTAAGTACTGTCCTTAATATACGCGCGAGTTACTAGGGTGCCTCCTCGGGATTTCGCCTCTGGGCGAAATCCCTGCGGGGGCAATAACAGGAAAACGCAAATAACCGTGTTGCATAAAGGGTGGTCTTTTGAGTGCCCAGTTGCGATCTTCTTTGATTGGGCTTATCCTGGTTATGATTGGCAATTTTTAATCACATTTAAGAGTGACTTGAGTTTCTATTGGTCATTATAGACTAAAAATTGACAGACTGACAAGCGCTTTTACTAACCTGCTTAAAAGTAGGATAGTGGATAGCATCGTCTGTGTTTCAATAAAACGCGTTCAGAGATATTTGCGTCCACTCGAAGTGTCCCCTCAGCTTCAGTTCCAATTGCACAGAACTTGCAGCATGAAGATCCTGTTTGGTCTCGCCTTTCTTCTTTGCATTTCAGTCGGTAAGTTATTTTAGTGTTGTTCAATCTGTTTCTTCTTGTTCAGATTAGGATATGAAAATGCAAAGGAAATTTGCTCTGTAGTTTCCCGTCGTTCCCTTTGCTGGCGTCCTTTATCTTCTTTCTCGTAATCTTGAGGTGTGGCTCCCCATTTTGCTCACTTTCTTATCTGCACGTTCCGGACAAACATCAATGATTTTCACTCCGGAACGAAACGTTTAATAAGCCAGTGTAATATTAGGCTAAACGTGACTGTAGCCGTCCAGTTTTTTTGCATTTGAGTATAGAATAATTGAACACATCGTTAACGGCCCTGTTAGGAAGTATTTAGCATGGTAATGCCGAACAAAGAGAGGGCGATGTCGGCTAGGTAGCGTAACTTTGACGAACTTTGTATTTGGTTTTGACGAATGCTCTTTCAGTTCTGATTTCCAAGGATTCCATGCGTGGTGAGCGTATTCGTCGATGAATTTTACGAAAAGCAAGAGTCGAATTAAAATGCTCTCTAATTCTGTAAGATTCTTTAGTCGATTTCACAAACGCAAGTCTTAACGTCCGGCAAGAAACGTGAAAAATAGGTGTAACAAGCAAAAACTGATACAGCTGTTTTGGTATGATTGGTTGTGAAAGATGAAAGTCGCGCCACAAACAATCTAAACTTGCAAACTCAAAAATGAAATGATGGAAATATGAATTTCATATATTAGACTCGGGAATCCAGAAATAAATGCAGAGAAGATCATTACAGTTGAATGCGCAGCTTATAAAGCAGTTACGAAAGGAAAGCCAGCAAGCCTGAATTTTTCAAGCTTTCTTTTCGTAGCTGCTTAAGTTGTGTATTCAACAGCGATGATCTTCCTTGCATTTAAACTCAACATTGGTGCGCGACAAATTGGACGAAACTTTTTACCTTCATTTCGTGATTTAAGATTTGCAAGAGGAACAGTAAATGCACGCAACATATCTCGTTCCTTTTTGTCGTTGATGTCGATACTATGAGCGTTCGCTAAATTTACGCGAGTTTCAGGCCTCTGAAACTGAAGAATAAAACATCTGTTAGAAATGTCAGATTTATATTTAAACTCCACGCTTAAGTCACACAAATCTTTTCGTTGTTTAAACTGTGAACTAGCATAAAATTCCCAAATGGAGAACAACACAGTTGTTTGGATGTCTCAGAGCGAATATCATACACTGTAAAACCAGCTTTTCTCTACGCACAATTAGTGGGTGTTGTATTCTACTACTACTACTACTACTACTAATAATAAAGACTTTATTAATGTGTCAAATGCCTAGCTCACACGAAGTGTAATTTATTTGTGGACGCCTAACTACCATAACTACCTAAAAAAAATAGAAAATCGCAAAAAAAAAAACCAAAACAAAACAAAACAAAAACAAACAAACAAAAAAAAAAAAGACAAAATAAACAATCGCAAAAACCCTGCCCGCGTCATTATTTATTCTTAGAGTTACACAGGTGACAGTTCTTACAGGCGTCAGTTCTAATGAGGTTCGCAATGAGTGAACTCTTTTAAAATGTGTATACTTAACTCATTTATTACGGGCGCGCATATTTGAAAAAAATTATATCTCCACGGTAATTTACCATAGCTTAAAAAGCTATACCTCATTTGAAAGGACATACAATAAACTTTCCAAAAATATATTTTGCTGTCTGAAAGCCCATAATACTTCAATGAAAAAAATTACAAGATACATTTTCTCATTATTTATGCAAAAATTCATAAAATGTGATTTTGCAAAAATAATACTTGGATTGAGCTTAAAGTTTAAAAGAATTTTTTTTCCTCCAGTTATCTAGCAAAATAGACCACGAATCAGCTAAAAATGTTGAACGATTCAGAATTTTTTATTAATTTTTTGCTGTTGGTACCCATTATCCAAATTAGTATGAAAAATTGGGGTTTTAGCCTAATTGCTGCGAAGCCAGCAGGCTTCGCAGCAGACGTACGTGATCAGCCTGGGCTGCCTGTGCCCGAAGCTAACCTCATTTGAGACTTTAGGATGTATGTATGTATATCGCGGGTGTCATTTAAAACGCGGGGTCGGCGTCGGGGTCGGCGTCGGCGTCGGGGTAGGGGTCTGGGTCGGGGTCTATCACTTTTTTTAAAGAAGGCTGTTTCAGGGTGAGGGTTAGGGTTAGGTTAGGGTAGGCTAGGGCTTATTCAGGGTTAGGGTTAGGGTTAAAAAAAAGAAAGATAGACCCCGACCCTGGCTCCGACCCCGCGTTTTACTAACACCCGTATATCACCGATTTCAAGTTTGTTCCTCGAGATCGAGGCTATTTTGTTTGCAGTTAATCGGATTCAGAAAGAAAACCTAAAAAACACACGGGGACAACTTAAAACCCAGGAGATATCCTGTTTCGTTTAGAAAGCCACATTTTTGTAAGCGAAGAGTTTGAATTAATGCAACTGAATATAAAAAATTGATTCCCGTGAATTAAAGCGATACGTTTCTCAGGATATTTCAAGCAATTCCTTGAACTCCACGGTTAATAAAGTCACTGTTTTAGCTAAATTTGTATGTTGTAACCCAAACTTAGAAGCATTTCATCGAATTTGATGAACGTGTGTAGCAGAATGAACTCACGCCGAAGAGCACGCTATAGTAGTTATAAACCTTTTCTTACCTCAACTTTTGCATTTATTTACCAGTTTATGATCCAAAAAGCTTTTTCCATTCATTGTGAAGGGCCTATTTGGTTGAAATTCATCGCCAGAAGTATTTCTTGATGGCTAAAGCTGCCACAAATTCTTTACCGCGTCGCCCTCCATTTTTGTGTGTTTTCAAAACATCGTTGCGTGAAGCATATCAATGGTTGGGGACTGATAAATCTTTTCGTTGTTTAAACTGTGAACTTTAAAATAAAAGCATACTAGGATTCACAAACGGAACTGAAAACACAGTTGTTTGGATGTCTTAGAGCGAATATCTTACACTGTAAGATCAACTTTTCTCTACGCACAATCAGTGGGTGTTGAATTCTACTAATAATATTACTAACAATAAAGACTTTATCAATGTTTCAAATGCCCACCTAGCTACCATAACTACCCAAAAAAATAGAAAATCGAAAAAACTGAAATAAACAAACTCGGAAACCCTAACCGCCTGATTAATTATTCTAAGAGTTAAACAGGTGACAGTTCTTACAAGCGTCGTGCAGTTCTAATGAGGTTCGCAATGAGTGAACTCTTAATCATGTATACTTAATTTGGACCATACTACAGGGCCATTATATCTAATACTGTGTTTCCCATAGGTGGTGGTGTTTATTCTTGGAATCATAAAATTGTCGGAATTTCTCAGGTTATAACTTCGGTTGCTTATATTAAAAATATCGGATATATAACTAGGGCATAAATTATGCTTGACTTTGTACTTTATTATTGCTATCTCTTGCAAGCCTACGGCTGAGCAGTGAGAGGAGTTAAGCCCTACACGAAGTTCATCGTATGTACCACTTTTATCACAATAGACTGATCTAAGCACTCCGGCCTTCTTATACTCCCTTAATCTTTCGGCGATCAGATTTTCTACAAAATGAAAGTGCAATACCGTAAGTTAATTGTGGCAAAATAACGGCGGGTGTAGGGAATCGAAGGCTTTTGATAAGTCCGTTGATAATACCCCGACTACCTTTTTGTCATCCAATGACCTCTTCCAGTCCTCTACTCGTTTCAGAAGTGCACTTGTCTGGCAGCTGTTCTTTTTGCGGTAGGCGGTTAAATTATTATTCATATAAGGCTCAATGTAATTCTGCCGCTTCGCTTGAGTCCCCAACCTTGGTAAACCTTTACATAGAGAGAAAACCGTTTACAGTACAACCCATAAAACGGCCATAAATCGGCCCAGGAAAGACGTAACACACATTTCATGTAAAAAAAGCTGTTTTTTCTTGAAATCCTTTCATTTTCGTAGGTTACGGAAACAATAGGTTTTTTTCCCACACAAATCCTCATATTTTGAATGCTACGCATTAATGCCAATGTTCGCCCATGCTCATATTTCGAGCTGGGGCTACCTGTTCTCGAACGTGCAATTAAACCTTTGTCAGAGGAAGTTATTGAACGTTACGTAGGTGACAACTAGGCGTCACACCGATAGCTCATATTTGGGGATTCAATGAGGGGTGAAATAACGATAATAATATCGTCATTACAGGCATTTTCGTCCCTCGACCCTTGCTCTCCCTCCATGTTTCGAGCGCCTGACTGATTCCCAACACCAGACTTTCACTTCCAATTTGAAGTTTCGGTATGAAACTTTCATTTTTTTAAGAGCAGGGGTGGTGGTTTTTTTCGTTCAAGGTTTTGACCTCTGTGTCTGATTAATACCGCTGCTAATTAAATGTTGCCACTTTCCTTTAGCAACGAAGAGGAAACGGAATTATGTCAGTCCTCTACAAGTTTGTCCAACATTTCGCGCGTTTTTCTCCGAGAAAAGCTTGTCTGAAGAAATGAGGTGATGGGCAAAGGTTCAATATCCATTTAATACCAAATGGTTTACGCGTCGAAAAACAAAAGTATTGAATTTTTACTATGGGATAGGTGGGTGTGTAGGCCTTCGAGATTCAGGCTATTAATTCCATTTTTGTATTTGTTTCCTTTTTCCAGTTTATGCCCTGAAATGCAACGCATGTGTCTCTTTAAAGAGCTGGGATGACTGCAAAAGTAGAACAGTACAGGGAACCTGTACGGGCAGTCAGGACCGTTGTGTCAAAGCTCATGTAGATGGCGAAGCCTCAGTCGAGCAGCTGAAGACAGCAGTTGAAGGCTTTGTCAAAGGATGTGCCACTGCATCTGATTGCAGCGCGAAGAACTGCACATCGATCGATCCCTCACTGAAAATCACCAAATGCAAAATCGACTGCTGTAAAGGTGATCTGTGCAATGGAGCCCAAGTACCAATGGTCAGCGCCATCATGCTGTTGGCATGCGCTATTGCGGCTTTTGCTCGATAAGTTTCAAGATAAAGAACTGAAATATAGCCCACCGTAGTAAAAGAAACAACAGTTCTAAATAGACAGTGGTTTGTTTTAATGAAGTGTTTTAACGGATATTGTTAATTTTGAATCCAATTTGAAGGAAAGAACAAGATTTACACCATAAGTGTTGATCTTTAGCTTAGTTCTATTTTGTTTTAGTTTTTGTAATGCAGTGAAATAAAGAATGTTGTTTGCTCTAATTCCTCACTAACAGTGAATTTTAGTGTAAAGGATGAGTAAAGAAGGGTGAATCCGATACTGGGTAAAGAATTCACAGTTCCTCAAGCATCATGTTACAACATGATAACAGTATCTCAATATACCAGGCTTTTAATAGCACTGAGGTGAGTCACAAACTTATAACAATCACTCCTCTCGAGTGAAATCGCTGTTGACAAAAATATTCTTTAAACATCGCTCTTCTATTTCGAGCTATTCTGCAAACCTAAGGAAAACACTGATTTGAGCAGTGCCTTATGACAGGGCTAGTGGTGTTATAAGATGTCGGATTAGAGTCAACACAGCAGATGTTCACCAACACAACTGTATTCAGAACAATATGTCTTCCCTCTCACTTTCCCATCATGCTCTATGTCGAGATACCACAGGGATACCACCCTCTAACAAGTGGCCTTGAAGGAATATTACGCAGCCGCGGCTCAGTTTCTTGTCCTTTAATTCTCTAGCCGGCTCATACAACTAACCTATCAATTTTCACAGGGAGTTTTCCTGATTGATGGAGGCCCGGCCCATACCTAGAGAAGGGGGTAGGACCAATTTTAAAGGGTGTTACTAGAAAGAGTAAGGGAGTAACGTTGAGGAAACTAGCAAGGATTGCAATTATGCCCAAAATTTGTGCTTTACTCCAAAGAATTCCTTATGCCAAGAATTATTAAACATAGTTTAGTTGCGTGCCAGTCAAAAATTCTTTTTGATGAAAGGATGAAAGGATGAAAGGATGTATGTTCAAAGATAGGATCAGTTTGTTAGAAACGAAGCTTGTCCGTTTGCTGTTTCATTTTCTTCGGTTCTGCTCGCCTCGTTAGCTGCAGTGAAAGGTAAATTTCTCTGGCTTGAGTGTGCGCTAATATCATAAACTGCCGCTGTTTTAGGAGGGCTTATAAACGGAGGGGCTTATGACCGGAATTGCTGTTAAAAAAAAATAAAAAAGGGACAGTAGATATATCTAGCAACCTTTGTGGCATTACAGGTGTGGTATGGAATCCCAAAATAGTGGCTAGGGTGGGGAGGGAGGATGCGTGTACACAACGGTGTTGTGTGTATAAAAACAGAACAAAAAAAGTTAGGTGTTAAGATTAGCACTGATAATGATGGACGGGCAAATTGCAGAGCAGCTATGTCTACCTCAAAGAAGTGCAAAAATTTATTTAGCAGAAAGCAATAATTACTGAAATTCTAATAAGAATAGGATTAAATAAAATATATAAGTTGAAAAATAAAAAAAAAATAAGTATAGAGGGACTGGCAAACTGTCAAACAGCTGAGTCAACCTCAAAATAGAGTTAGGATAAGTATAAGAGGATGAGAGGTTAGAAGGTAAAAAATAATAAGAAGGATGATAGGAAGATGAAAGGGGAAAAGAGGGATCGGCAAACTGCAAAGCAGTCATGTCAACCCCTTGGAAAGTTAAAAATAAAGAAGAGAGAGGAGGAAAAAAAAGTTTAAAATTTATAATAATACTAGGGTATCTAAAAGATAGTAATGCTGAGGCATATTCTGTTGATACTTGCATTAGTTAGGCAGTGGGACTTAAAGAATCGAAAATGACATTGAATGTCCTATTTACATGTTGGAAAGTACTAGAATAATTACTATCAGTCTACATAAAGAACGCGTGGGAACGTTGTTTAAAAAATGATCAAGTGGTTATCAACTCTGTTTTTCCCACAGTAAATTGTAGGAAATGATAGAAATTCAGATTGTTTATCCATATATTTAATATAGGGTGTACTATCTTTTCTCTGGAAACATGATACTTTTCTTGCTGTTTATTGCACTTTATTAAGTAACAGTTATTTAGCTATATATTCATAGAAAACAGCAACAAAAAAAACAGAAAAAAAAGAAAGAAGGAAAAAAAGAGTTCGGTAGGACTCGAACCCGGCACCATCGGCTTGACGCGACTACACCTCACCACTACTCCACAGAGACTGCCTACGGAATTTTGGGAAAAGTCTTTAATTTAATTCCTTTTCCGTGAAACTTCCGCCGGCAAGATAATCGCCAGCCGCATTAATTGAGCTATTAACAGCAAAAAAACAATGTAAACGCAAATTCCATGGCAACGAATGAATGAAAGAACATAATTATGCTTTTCAAAACGCCGATACACGTCCTAGGCAGCAAAGTAGGACACAAAACATATGTTTTGTTATCTCGATTTCCGCTGTTATTTTGAAGCGAATGGTCAAAATCACATCCATTTTCGGCTCATACAGGTTCTTAAGAATAGCATGGCATGACATTTTCTCACTTTTACATCACCTTCTAGCAAGCTGGAATTTGTATATCCCCCGTGTTGCGGAGTCGAAGAGCAAATACTCATCTTCTCATCAGGTTTAATACCTGGACGAGTCAAAGGCTCTTGAACTGAAATCCAATCCCCAAGTTAACCATCGTACTCATCTGAAAGACTCCTGCTTGTCTTAAATCTGGTAAGACCTCTAACCGTGCTGTAGAAAATTTGCTACAAAGAAAACTCTGAGTCTGGGCAGAGAACGATGCGAACTTCCCCTTGTTTTTATTTGAATGTTCGTGGCGCAATGCACTCTGGTTAAATGCAATGCATTGTGGTAAAAAGTGATGAATTTGAGAATTCGTCGCCCCTTATATATTTCCCTTAAATCCTGATTATGTTGCTGCTCGCTCCCTACGGTCGCTCCGCAGCAAAAAATGAAATAAAATAAATGATAGAATGAATGAAATAAAATAAAATAAATGAATAATAAAGGAGAGACTCCGGGGTAAACAAAAGATAAAACAATCAAAGGAATTACTTCAATAACTTTAATGTGCAATTTTCTCTTCAAAAATAATGATAAGTAAAAAAAAAAAACATGTTTGTGAAAAAATAAAAAACCTAAAGTTGCTTCTTCACTGAAAATAAATTATAATAAGTCAGATGTCTTGTTAACTGATACAGTACAAATACTATATGAGCTTCACATAATTATTGATGTATAGTCGTTCTTAAAAACTTATCGAATCACTGAAATAGTTAAAATGAGATTGAAATATAATCGTTCTTAAAAAAAAATCAAGGAATTATTGACTCTGAAAATGTTTCTTTTCAATAAAAGTAGAAAATGACTCAGTAGTTTCTCTAGTAACTATAGCGACATCTGCAGAGTTGCAAAAATTGTGAAATAAATTTAAAATATTAGATAATACTTTAAAATAAAGTCCGAGATATTGGATAAAATACAAGATCAGAATTAAGTAAAAGAAAATGTCACATGTAAGCTCTCATAAAAAAAGAGGGGAGGGGTGTGAAAGAAATGTACAGGATAAGAACTTTCATAATGAAACTATTATAAGTAGTATAAGTTTTCTTGAAATATTACAAAAATGTAATTGAAAGAGAATTTAAATGGTTAGTTGTTAGTCGTTCTTTTGAGTTCGCTGACATTAATGATTATAAGGAATAATATAACTTGTAATTTTTAAAAATATTTTTTCGAAAGAGAATTTAAAATGGTTAGTCGTTAATTGTTAGTCGATTTTTTTTGTCCGTTAAGATATAGCCATTCTTCACAGTGCAGATCAAAGTAAAACCAGATATGTGACTTTTTGTCCATGTTGTTGAGAAGAAAATCTAGCTGGCGAGCACGTTTTTCGGCTTTTTTGTCTGTAGTCCAGTGTTGTGATGTGAGGATCCAATGTGAAGTCAGGCGGGGTGAACAGTCATTGTCAATTAAAAATAAAAACGGTTTGAATGTGTCCTTGTCGCTGATTGTTTTTTTCCAGAAAATGAACTTAAACTCTTGTGGCCAAACAGAAAGTGGATAAAAAGCGTCGCCGTTGAATGAATTAAAAAGTTGAAGTCGTTGCTGGATAATTGATGTACGGAAGAGGTTGCGGGAGGGTCTGAATGGAGGGGTCCACTTTTCGGTGGTCGGTTAAAATTCAGTTCTTTGTCGGTAGTCGGTTAAAATTTTCGATCTTTGTCGTTAGTCGGTTAAACTTTTTGATTTTTGTCGTTTGTTGGAAAATCTCAGTTAATAAGTAAATTATTATTGTTAATTATTAATAGATCTTGCGGAGATGGTGATGGTAAAAGTGGAGTGTAGAGTGGTTGTTATCCATAGTTGAAAGTAGTCTGTTAAGATAACAATAGATCAGGGGGTGAAGTAGAGGGTGGGGATAAGAGCATTAGGATGATAATTCGTAATGATTAACTATTAATTAGTGTTATAAGTTTGACAAAAATTGCCTTATTGCTATTAAAGGAAAAAGGAAGCCGAAGAAGAATAGATAGAGTGTTAAGGAGAATGGGAATACCCTGGTATGGCAAGAAAAAGGATGCATCGACACCAAGGCTCATGTAATGTTGTGAATCATCAGGGACAAAGCACAACTGAGCGAGGATGTTTCTAGCCCGGCGCCGAGCCTTTGCTCGACATCCTCTGTGTCGAGAAGAAGAAGAAGAAGAAGAAGAAGAAGAAGAAGAAGAAAACAAACAACAAAAAAACAACAACCCACAAACAAACAAACCTTGAGCAGAACAATATACTCTCTTTGTATGTAAATAGAGTTTGAAAACGATAAATTAAAAAAGAAATGAATTAGAACGGTAAACCGGAAAGCGTCAGTTGAGTAGTTTAAAGTAACAAATTAATTAAGCTAAAGTGACAATATCTTATCACGAAAACAAAGGGGTTTCTTCAAAAATGCTGGTTGTGAAAAAAGGTCAGTCCTGGAAATAAGGAGGCCCAAAATTAAAAACAATTATAAGG